GGGGATTGGCAATGACATATTGGACAAGGTACTATTCTCTAAAATTTATAGAAGACTTCAACAAGTCAAAATTTTAAAGACAGATAATCCAATTCAAAATGGGCAGAGAAAGGGAAATACACTGGTTTCAGCCTCTGAACTTGACCAGGGATGTGAATAGCCTTGCTATCATGCAAAGTGCATTGGAAAGTGGCTTTTTTTATTTCAGATGCTAAACCAAACCAAACTCGCTGCCATTGAGTTGATGCTGACTCATAGCAACCCTATAGGACAGGGTCAAACTGACCCTGTGAGTTTCCAAGACTGTAACTCTTTATGGGAGTAGAAAGCCCCTTGTTTCTCCAGGGAGCAGGGTTGGTAGTTTCAAACTGCCAACCTTGTAGATGGTAGACCAACTTGTAACCATATGCCCCTAGGGCTCCTACCGTGTGTCAAAATATAACGTCGTATATTTGCCCTCCTTTTTTACCTGTGTTAAATTTGTTCCAGTTTTTGGTCGTTTCTGCTTCCTTTCTGATTGAGGTTTTTCTGTTTTACTTTGTTGTTTGTTTTTGTTTTCTTTTGTATGTTTTTCATCATCGGAAATCCAGGATAGGCAAATCTACAGAGAGGGCAACTATGGTGCCTTGAAGGTTAGGGGGAAATGGGGAGCTAATAACAAGGAGTACAAGAAAGAAGAGAATGTTTTAAAATTGATTGTAGTAATGATTGTATAACTCCTCTTCTTATGATTGAATTACTGACTGTATGATGTGTGGATTATGTGCCAATAACACTGTTTTTAAATTACTTAATAATAAAATGGGCAGAGGACATGAACAGACACTTCACTAAGTGTGGGGAAGGTTACCGTTTGCAGTGAAAGCCCTGCATCGAATTTTGAGTCTCCACACAAGGAAGACCGAAGAAGGATGCATTTGAATTGTGGGGCTGGAGAAGAATATTGGAAGAGTCATGGACTGCTAAAAAGATGACAAATCAGTCTGTCTTGGAACAAGGATGGCCAGAGGGCTCCTTAGAGGCAAGGATGGGGAGACCTTTGTTTTACATACTTTGGGCATGTTGTCAGGAGAGACCAGTCCCTGGAGAAGGTTTGGGAAAGTGGAAGGGGCAGCAAAAAGAGAGAGGCCCCTCAAGGAGACAGATTGACCCAGTGTCTGGCCCCACGGGTTCAAGCGTCAGAAGAATTGTGAGGCTGGTGCAGGACTGGGCAGGGTTTCATTTTGTTGTGCACAGAGAGAGTCACTATGAATCGGAATCCACTCAGCGACACCCAACAACAATCCATGAACTCAGCCTCCCCTAATTCCTTCTATTCAACATCGCCTTGTCCTCGGGCCGAGTGCATTAGAAAGTGGCTTATTACCACTCCCCTAGCTACTCCATGGAGCAGTCTAGCTCGCAGGGGCGAGGGGGCCCTGGTGGCCTTTGGAGTACTCGGTTGGAATAGTCAGGAGTCATACCTGACTGCCTTAGTTGGAGAGCCTTGTAAGCTCTTCTCTCCAGCAAGATGTACGGGGCACAACCATGGTCCCTTCCTGACTTCTGTTGTCACACCTGCAGCTGTGATGGATCAATCTGCTGCCGATGTTTTTGGGACAATGTCCCTCGTACCCCCATGTGGCTTTTAAGTGGCTGGTTTTCTGTAAATCCTTGCAGGCTATGTGGCTTCATGCCCAGGGCCCCTCGTTGAGATGGATTGTCTTTGTCCAGTTTAAGACTTAATAAATGTGTTTCTGGAAATCACATTTGGGTTTGGGGGTCCCTTTTCTCCATGAAAGCACCCCGAAATCACCGACCATCTATGGACTTTTGCACACACCCACTGCCACGTACCAACAGCCCTCCAGGGCAAAATGGAACTGCTCCCTAGAAACTCTGTAAATCCTTAGGGACCAGAAAAACCTCGTCATTCTCCCTGACAGCAGCTGGTGGGTTTGAACTGCTGACTTTGCAGTGGTTTTATGGGACAAATCTAAATCACTGCCATTGAGTTCATTACAACTCATAGCAACCCTACAGAACAGGGGGAAAGCACCCCTTTGGGTTTCTGCAACTATAACTGTTGTTGTTTACAGGAGAAGAGCCTTGTCTTTCTCCCTCGGAGCAGCTGGTGGTTTCCAACAGCTGACTTGGCGGTCAGCCGTCCGGCTCATAAACACTAATGCATCCAACCTGTGTGACCCCCCACATTGCAATTTCCATCAAGGACCACCCAGGCAAGGCCGGAAGGGAGACGGCCCCTCCTTGGGCTGCCTAGGTTTCTTGTTGTTTTTCTCCCTTCCCTCGAGTTGTTGTTGACTCACATCGGCCCTATAGGCCAGATTAGAATCGCCCCTGTGAGTTTTCCAGGCTGCAATCCACTTTCCAAGCCAGAAGGCAAAACTACTCACACTCCTGGTTAATGATCAGAAACTATTTGATGGAGGCTGAGTAGCCCGTGCAGACTCTGCAAATGGACTTTGGGCTTTCGCTGCCATCCACAGCCTTCTGTAAATGAGGTGCTTAGCCTTTAAGTTCTATTTCACTCGGAAAATAAATAACCTCTACAGGAAGACTTTTGCATTCCAAGCGCCAATCATCGAGGGCACTTAACAACAACAAACTGTAGACACAGAAACCCTGGCGGCATAGTGGTTACTTAGTGGGTTGCCTGTTGGGGCTGCTAACTGCAAGGTCGGCAGTTCAAAACCACCAGCCTCTGCAGGTGAAAGCCAAGGCTTTCTACTACTGTAAAGAGCTACAGTGCCGGAAACAGATGGAGTGGCACCGTGGCTGTATCAATGGGCTCAGGCAGGAGAATAATTGTGAGGATGGCACAGGACTGTGTTGTGTTTTGTTCTGTTGTGCAGAGGGTCGCTCTGGGTGGAAGCCCACTCAATGGCAGCTCACAACGACAACGAACGACAGGTTTGCAGAAGGCCGTGGCAGCGATGCGCCCCACTGAGTCTCCGAAGAAGCGACGGTGCACCTTTCTCCCCACCTCTCGGGTCCTAGCCTGGAACACAGGCGGGCCCAGCACCAGGCCCACCCACGCCCCGCTCCTCCGCCCCGCAAGCCTGCTCGCACCCCCGCCGCCCACGGGAGAGTGTTGTCCACGTCCCCTTCCAGGCCGGGGGCCCCGGGGGCAGAGAAGGGAAGCCAAGGAAGGCCTCGGGCGGAGTCCGGCCCCGGAGAGGGCGGGACGGCCCCGGAGTGGGCGGGGCGGGGGCGCTGCCGTGTGACCCGCGCCACGTGATCGCGCGGAGCGGAACAGTCCGCGCTGTGGCCGGAGCGTCCGCGGGAGCCGGCCGGGTGAGTAGAGGGCGGGTGGAGCGGGGACCCTCGTCGGGAGCCCTCCGCGGGGCCGGAGGGGCGGGGGCGGCGGCGTCCGCGGGGAGGTGAGCGCGCGTCACCCCTGCAGTCTGCGCGGCTCGCCCCTCGACGGGACCTCACCGCTGTCGGGCTGACCGGGGCGCTGGGGGAGCAGCATGCCCCCGAGTCATCCTGAATCTGTACGCCGCGGGCACTTGGGGGGCCTGGGGGGTTCACACTGCGGGGAGAGCCGGCAGGCGCCTACACGGCCAGGCACAGCTCGGCGCCCCGTTGTGTAGCGGGGTACGAGTTGGGCTAACTGCAAGGTCAGCTGTTCAAAATCGCCAGCCGCGGCTTTCCGGCCTCCGAAACCCAGTTCTCCCGAACCTAGAGCAGCGGTTCTTAACCTGGGGGTCGAACGACCCTTTCAGGGTCGCCCGGTTTATCACAGTAGCGCAACGACAGTGATGAAGTAGCAAGGAAAATAATGTTATGGTTGGGGGGTCACCACAACCTGAGGAGCTGTCTGAAAGGGTCGTGGCATGAGGAAGGTGGAGATCCACTGTCCTCTGGGATTGCCAGAGTTTGGGTTTGTTGTTCTCTTCATCGGCTAGTGGCCCAAGATGAAGTAGAGTATCAGGTGTAGAGATCAGAACTGGGTGGATTTTCAAGCCTACTAGTCGTAGTTAACATGACATCCTGGTGGTGCTGACTTGTTAGCAGTTCAAACCCGCCAGCCACTGCAGGTGAGAATGATGAAGGAGGCGCTCTGCTTCTGTAGGGTCACCATGAATTGGAATCGCTGAGGGGCGGCGAGTTGGGGGCTGGGCTGTGTGCTTCACATGCACGATCTCGTGAGTCTGTGAGGCAGGAATGCTCCCTCCATACGAGGAAACAGCTTCTGAGAACTTGAGTCCTTTGACCAAGGTCCTCCAAACCCAACCCAACTCATAGTGGCTCTGTAGGCTCTGGGCAAAGTGCCTCAGAGGCTTTCCAAGGCTGACGGTTCTGAATCCCACAGAACTGCTGGTGGGTCCAAGCTGCCTAGCAGCCAAGCACGTCAGTCTGGGCCATCAGGGTCATGCTGTGAATTAATGAAGGAACTGAGATTAAAACTCAGGCCTAGCTCACTGTAGCCTCCCAGTGGCTGGTGGAGGCTCGTCCAGTCTGAATTCCTCTCTGATAGCTTTCTTTAGAAGAGGGTTTTGCTGGGTGAGAGGGATTCCCAACCCATCCCCCCGACCTCACTCCAGCTACCTCCATTTCTTTTCCACCCATGTCCCTTACCATTGACTCACTTTTGTCACTCCTTACAGGGCAAGATGAAGCTCATCGTCACGGAAAACTATTCTCAGGCCAGCGAGTGGGCAGCCAAATACATCAGGAACCGCATCATCCAGTTTAACCCTGGGCCCCAGAAATTCTTCACCCTGGGCCTTCCCACTGGTGTGTTATGGGACAGGAATGATACAAGGATGGGGGTGTGTAGGAAGTGGGCCTCGGGGGGCTCTTTGAGGGACCAAGATAGGTGGGCTCACTCAGCTGAGAGACTTCAAGAAGGATTCTGAGAACATTTTTAGGCTACATGCTATGTCGCTCCTTGTTGGCAGAGTTAACAGTTACAAAAGTCATAATGCTCTAAGGAAAAGCTCTGGTGGCGAAGTGGGTTGTCCCTTGACCTGCTGACCAAAAGCCGAAACCGAACTTACTGCCATCAAATTGATGCTGACTCATAGTGACCCTATAGGACAGGGTAGTACTGCCCCTGTGGGTTTCCGAGAGACAAACTCTTCATGGGAGTAGGAAACCCATCTTGCTCCCATGAAGCAACTGGTGGTTTGGAACTGCAGTAACCATTGCGCCACCAGGGCTCCGTGGGCTGCTAGCAGCAAGGTCAAATCCTCCAGCAGCTTCGCGGGAGAAAGAAGGCTGTCTGTGCCCTTGAAGAGTTGCAGCCTCGGCAGCCCTCAGGAGCAGCTGTGCTCTGTCCTCTAGGATAGCTATGGATCAAAATTGATCCAGTCAGTGGACACTGCTCAGAGCTATCCATTGTGTGTGGTGGGTTGATTGATCTTCTGTGCATCTGGAGTGGTTCTCCCCAGTACCGTGCTTGACAGAATTCAGGTAGTCATCCAAATCATTTTCCGTATGGCTTGCTTAACACACACTATCTAAATAGAACCTTACTCCTTTCTTTGAGGGATAGATCTGAGCGATCTCTATAGGAAGATCGAGTTTTTCACTCCAATGTCTCAAAGCAAATGTCATGATTATTTCTTCAGAGGCAGGGTAAATTTGCCCCAAGGCTTCCATCCCGCCCTACCTAACCCATTCCTTAGAGGCGGGGTCTTCAACCTTTCCCTCTGAACAGATAGTGAATATTCTATGCTTTGCTAGCCACACAGTGTCTGGCACAGCTAGCTCTGTAGCCCAGCCACCCCAACCCCAAACTAGACTCACTGCCATTGAGTGCCTTCTGACGCATAGTCACCCCGAAGGGAGCAGACCGCCTCTTCTCCCTCCCGTGGAATGGCTGGTGGGCTTGCAGCTCCGGCCTGCTGGTGAACAGTCCCGGCCTTATCCCACCTGGGCTCCTACTCAGCCACGCACCAGCGACACATGAAGAACTCCACCTCACAAAATAGCTGTCTTAATTTTTTCTATTTAAAAATATCAAAAGCATTGTTAACTTATTGGGTGTACAAGAACCGACAGCTGGCCAGGTGTGACCTGTCAGCCCACATTTGTCACCCCCACCCTTGGATGTTCGGGGAGTGGTATTTGCCCGCATCTGTGAAATGGCCAGTGTCTCGGGCTATGCGGGAGCTGTGCTAACACCCTGTCTTCTAACTGGGGTGACCCGACCTCCACCACCTGGCTCAGAATCTGGGCTTCTGCTTAACACACACACACACACACACACACACACACACACACACACACCCCACTCGGACCTGCCCTAGTTCCCATCATCTGCATGGCCAGGTCCACCCTGCTCACAGCAGCATCTGAGGCCCTCAAAGCCCCGGGCCCCTTCCTGCCTGTCACACTTGAACCTGCACAGTGTGTCCACGGTTCCCTGGAACAGTGCTTCTGTTCTCTGAAGCACCACTTAGGGTTTGGGGTAGAAACCACAGAAACCAACTCTAAGTAACTTAAGCAGAAAAGGAATGGATTGGCTAAATACCAAGACGCTTGTGGGAAGAGCTAGAGCAGTGGTTCTCAACCTTCCTAAGGCCGAGACCCTTTCATACAGTTCATGTTGTGGGACTCCCCCTCAAACCATATAAATATTTTCATTGCTACTTTATAACTGTAATTTTGCTACTGTTATGAATCGGGTGACCCCTGTTAATAAGGGTCATTCAACCCCCAAGGGGTCACGACCCACAGGTTGAGAACCGCTGAGCTAGAGGTTTGGAGACTGGCAGGCCAGGGGAAACTATGAGGAGACTTCACAAAGTGCATGGAAAAAGTAAAAGATAATGAAGTATTTCCACGAGCCTTTGGAACCCCCTTAGACGTGAACTGGGTAGAGCGAAGGTCTTGTCGACGGTCCAGGCTGATAGAGTGTTTCGTTCTTGCTGTAAATTGGGCAGAGGTTCACAGAATAGAACATTGGATTTACATCCCGCCATCTGCCACATTTGGTTTCATCTCATCCGTCCCCTCAACATCCTATCACCTGTCCCCCTTTCTCCTCGTGTTTCCGGCTTCTATTCCCCCTAACCCTCGGAACCTTGTCCCTGGGCGAGTGTTGCCCTTTTGATCTCAAAAGTTTGGTTATTCTATGGTGTGTGCACCTCCCTAGTGTTTCTGTCCACCTTACAGAGCTGTCTGTTTAACTGAAATTTGAACCATGGGGTTAAGTTCATTTCCAGATGAGGACGGTGACCAAGGGCCATAGTCAGGAGTTCCACCAGCCTCCATCCAATCCATAAACCCTTTTAAGATGTTGACTTTTGTTCTTCATATTTCTCCCACTCTAGCCAGGCCCTTCTAGTATGAGGCTGCTAGCGGCATTTGGGCACCATCTAGTCTTCCGGCCCCAGGGTAGGCTGATTGTTTGGCATGGGTTAGAGAGAACTGGCACATTCATTCAGCTGTTATTTATTGATTGCTTACCTAGGCTGAGCTATTAGTGCTGGGGAGACGATGATGAACAAGAAAGACAGCTTTCTGCTTCCCCTCGAGCTTAAATTGTAGTAGGAAGGGCAGACAATAAACAAGTGGATGTGCAAAATATAGAGTATGCTAGCTGGTGATAACAGTACGGAGGAAAATGATACAGGCCGGATGATGGGGCAGTCTTGGTCGGGGCAAAGGTTGCAGCATTGGGTGTGGAAGCAAGGGACGTCTTGCTAAGTGACGTGCAGTCATTTTGAGAAGAGAGTGAGCCATGCAGAGCCCTGGAGGAGGAGGAGGAGCAGGGTGTGGCTGGCGAGGTGGAAGGGGGCTTGGACCAGTGTGAGCAGAGGTGGGGGAAGTAGTCAGGAGCTGTTATGAGAAGCCCTCCGGGGGTTTTGATGTTCTATCTAAAAATTTTTCAAATACACTTAGGAAAATTAAACTCATTCTATAGTGTCATCTAATACTATGTTCAAATATTTTTAATTATCCCATAGGTCTTAAAACTTTAAGTAGTCTAGAATCCTATCTGGGTTCATGTATCTTTAGTCTTGTAATCTACTGTGGTCCTCCTGTGCCCCCCCTCCCCACCCTTTGTTTAATGTGTTTTATGACATTGACTTTTTAATAAGACCTACTTGGGATTTACTCCTCAGGGAACCCTCCTCCACCCTAAGCCCTGGGGGAAGCCTGTGCTTCCTGTCACCACCGCTGACATAGCTGTTTGTGTCCCTGTCTTGGGACTGGAGCACTTCCAAGGGCAGCTCTTCTGTATTTCCACCACAGGGCCTTGTGCTTCCTGCGTCCATCGTAGGCATGAACTACAGCCATGTCAGTCAGCACTGCGCCAGCCGCTGGGGACTTGGCAGGGAACCAGCAGTCCTGCCCTCCTGGAGCTTCCGATCTAGTGGGGAAATGGCCATTGACCAAGCACTTGACGGCTGGCAGCTGGGTTTGGAGCACTGGGGCAGAACTTGCTTTTCTTGGGTGTCCCGAGGTACAGTCATGTCTGTGGCCTCTTTCAGGGAGCACCCCCATCGACTGCTATAAGAAGCTTATTGAGTACTACAACAATGGGGACCTCTCCTTCAAATTCGTGAAGACGTTCAACATGGATGAGTACGTGGGTGAGTCTTCCAGCCCTTCCTCCTCACAGGCTGGGCCCTCGAGGAGCCAGCGATGTCTCAGTGTCAACATCTACATCTTCATCTCACATACTGTGGACATGTGGTCAGGAGAGACCAGGCCCTAGACAAGGGCGTCATGCTCGGTAAAGTGGCAGGGCAGTGAAAAAGAGGCAGGCCCTCCAGGAGATGGAGTGGCACAGTGGCTGCCA